ACGTTTCCTGGTGGATTTCGCTAGCCTCAGAGGCTCATTGTGGCCCTCCATGTAACCCTTCTTTCTCTAGAGACAAGGGTCACAGTCTACTGAGCCATTTTCATCATAAGCCAGCAAGGGAGGTGAGGAGAAGTTATCCTTCCTTGCACAGTGTCTGTTGTCTCCCAGTCTCGGTGATTAATCAGGGAGCAAAGGGGGGGGTGGGAGCCCAGGCCCGGGCCCAGGCCCACCCTCTACTCGGGTCTCCAGCCCAGGGACCATAATAGTATCAGCTATGGTAGCTGACCTTTTAGAAACATGACATGTAGAATTCCCTGGGCTACTTCCCCCACAGCAGCCCTCACTTCCTCAAGCTCCACTTCACCCTTACCTCAGGGCCTCCTTCCTTGAGCCTGATATGGTGTGTACTACTCAGCCTCTCCAACAGCACAACTTCCTTCCACAGCTCCTGACATCCACCCCCACCGACTGGCTGGGAGGCTTTTAACTAGTTTCAGCCAGCCCTCGATTGGCTTCAGGTGTCCCAATCAACCTAGCATTCTCCCTGCCTTCTGGAAAGTTCTTAATTGGCCCCAGGTATCTTAATTGACCTGGAGCAGCTTCCATTTCACTTAACCTGGTACCAGGGATTCGTTTAGCCTGGAGCTAATATATCTATCTCCCACTACTTTTCTATAGCCCCATCTGGCCTTGCCCCGTCACACAGGCTAGAAATCCCTCTAGCCTGGGTCCAGCACCGCTGCTCCCCCCACCACCCCGTCTCAGTCCTTGTTCCTTGTGTCCAAGAGTCTCCTATGGGTAAGGAGTCAGTGAAGAACCCTGATGATGTCACTCCCCAGCCTCAAACAGCTTTTGCATATGGCAGGAACCCTTTGTCTCCCAGCTTGCTTCCCACACCTTTCAGTGGAAAAATGCTGGTATTCCAAGGAGACCAGTACCAGGTGATCTGGTCACATGCCCCTGTAGTGTCATAGCAGCCATGACTCGGAGGCTATTTGTAGCATCCTCAGGAAGGCTCCATGGTGGGAGATTAGCATTTTCTTAGACCAGTTGTTCTGCTTAATGGTCCATTTGAGTTGAATGGGCCCTTCCCAGCCAGCCATCTAGACTGACAGTCTTTTGCCTAGTGGGCATTTCCCAGGTGTAAACACATTGGTAATAGATACATAGACAATATTCCTAACTTCAGATACCAAAATCATACTTGCATGCAAGTATGATAGTCATATTCAGTAAATCATAACCTTTTCAGTGATATCTCACATGACCTATCTTGTATAAAATACATTGTAATTATGCCATACTCATATCACAATAACATTACTATGAAATATGGGGCATGGTGTCACACCACCTTCTAGGGATATTAGAGAGACAAGGAAGATGAAGTAATATCTTTTATTGGACCAACTTCTGATGGTGAGAGAGACATACTTTCACCAGAGCTCTTTGTAGTTCAAAAGCTTCTCTCTCTCTCTCTCTCCACCAAAAGTTGGTCCAATAAAAGATATTACCTTACCCACCTTGTCCCTAATATCCTGGGACTGACATGGCTACAACTACACATCTGCCAAGAATGTCCTACTCAACCAGTATGCCCTCTCAATACATTTTACTTTACAGTTGGCTGTGCACATGGGCAGCCTTATTTAGTGGCACACTTAATGTGTACTGCAAATGTGCTGATTCTTATGCAGTTGTCAAGTGCTTTCAGTCAAATCAGAGCCAAGTTTCAAAGACAGTTCTTCATGATGGCTATTTCCATGCTGAATTGTTTTTTACCCTCCATGGTTTCAGTTAGTGTTGTCCAAAACAGTCATAAGAATTGTTTATAATGAGGAAAAATTGCATTTTGAAGTTAAAACTGAGACTTTAATTAATGGCAGTTGCCATTACTCTAACATTGAATTTGTTGAAAACTCAGACTATTCACAAAAAGAAAAGGAGGACTTGTGGCACCTTAGAGACTAACCAATTTATTTGAGCATAAGCTTTCGTGAGCTACAGCTATTCAGCCTTCAATTTTTACCAGTCTGGATATTGCTTCATTGCACACCAATGTTCACAGAATATGCTTGCACTCTCAATACTGCCCTATTCCCTAGATAGTTTGGGGGGGTGGGAGGGAGCAGAAGCATATGTTGTGTTGGCTCCACTTAAAGGATTGACTCACACTTGTCTTCCCATTTTCCATGTCTTTCCTTCTTTCACTCTTTTGGGTTCAAACAGGCAAAGAAAACAGTGTTAATGTTCTTTTATAGTAGCATTTCCTGTGGATGCCTGTTTCGAGGGCAGTGATGTACAGTAAAAGCTCAGTTTCACTCTTTGCAGGTAACATTGTTCTATGCAGGAACACAGTACTGCTTTTCATCTCTGGCTGTCAGATTTTGTTGTCTAGAAAATGTCTGTTGCCTACCAAGTGGTTTGAGGTGTATGGACAGGGTGGGCTTTAAAATGTTCAGGGAGGTGTGAGCAGCAAACTTAACTGATTGAATTTTAAATAAAAGAGCATGTAGGAGAATTTCCTTTTTCTCTTCTGTTCTTGAAAAGTGGCATTTGCTTTCCTATTTCCAGCAGTTGACAAGAACGTCTGAGGAACTGGGGGGGGGGCACATGATAGCATATATCACATTGGTAGATGTGAGGTGAACGAGCCTGATAGGGTGGCTGATGTGATTAGGTCCTATGATGGTGTCCCCTGAATAGATATGTGGACATAGTTGGTAACGGGCTTTGTTGCAAGGATAGGTTCCTGGGTTAGTGTTTTTGTTGTGTGGTGTGTGGTTGCTGGTGAGTATTTGCTTCAGGTTGGGGGGCTGTCTGTAAGCAAGGACTGGCCTGTCTCTCAAGATCTGTGAGAGTGATGGGCCATGTGCCAGCAATGCCCCTCTGCCATGTACATTGGTCAAACTGGACAGTCTCTATGTAAAAGAATAAATGGACACAAATCAGACGTCAAGAATTATAACATTCAAAAACCAGTCAGAGAACACTTCAATCTCTTTGGTCACTTGATTACAGACCTAAAAGTGGCAATTCTTCAACAAAAAAAATTCAAAAACAGACTCCCAACGAGAGACTGCTGAATTGGAATTAATTTGCAAACGGGAAACAATTAACTTAGGCTTGAATAAAGACTGGGAGTGGATGGGTCATTACACAAAGGAAAACTATTTCCCCATGTTTATTCCTCACCCTCCCCCCCCCCCCCCCCCCAGTTCCTCAGACGTTCTTGTCAACTGCTGGAAATGGCCCACCTTGATCATCACTACAAAAGGTTCCCCCCCTGCCGTCCCACCCTGCTCTGCTGCTGGTAATAGCTCACCTTACCTGATCACTCTCGTTACAGTGTATATGGTAACACCCATTGTTTCATGTTCTCTATGTATATAAATCTCCCCACTGTATTTTCCACTGAATGCATCCGATGAAGTGAGCTGTAGCTCATGAATGCTTATGCTCAAATAAGTGTGTTAGTCTCTAAGGTGCCACAAGTACTCCTTTTCTTTTTATTGTTTTTGTTTGTTCGTTTGTTTTTGAGGAGGAAGGGGGGAAAAACGTGAGAGGAAGAAGAGATATCCAACCTGTCCAACAGCAATGTGTCAGGAAGTGTGGGTGAATGCCCATGTCAGGAGAGGAGGGGAAAGGAACCACCATGTGTGGAAAAGTGGACTGTGGAGAGAAAAGAATACAGGAAATAGTTAAAAGGGGTGCAAGAGGGAAGAAACAACATAGCAAACAGAAATGGGGCAGGGGCTAAAGGATAATAGGAAAGCAAATGCCACTTTTCAAGAACAAGAGAGAAAAAGGAAATTCTCCTACATGCTCTTTTATTTAAAATTCAATCAGTTAAGTTTGCTGCTCACACCTCCCTGAACATTTTAAAGCCCACCCTGTCCATACACCTCAAACCACTTGGTAGGCAACAGACATTTTCTAGACAACAAAATCTGACAGCCAGAGATGAAAAGCAGTACTGTGTTCCTGCATAGAACAATGTTACCTGCAAAGAGTGAAACTGAGCTTTTACTGTACATCACTGCCCTCGAAACAGGCATCCACAGGAAATGCTACTATAAAAGAACATTAACACTGTTTTCTTTGCCTGTTTGAACCCAAAAGAGTGAAAGAAGGAAAGACATGGAAAATGGGAAGACAAGTGTGAGTCAATCCTTTAAGTGGAGCCAACACAACATATGCTTCTGCTCCCTCCCACCCCCCCAAACTATCTAGGGAATAGGGCAGTATTGAGAGTGCAAGCATATTCTGTGAACATTGGTGTGCAATGAAGCAATATCCAGACTGGTAAAAATTGAAGGCTGAATAGCTGTAGCTCACGAAAGCTTATGCTCAAATAAATTGGTTAGTCTCTAAGGTGCCACAAGTCCTCCTTTTCTTTTTGCGGATACAGACTAACACGGCTGCTACTCTGAGGAAAAAAAAACAAAAACAAAAAAAACCAATATTGCCATTCTAGGGAGAGAAGCAAAGGAGCTAATGAGGGCAGTTTACAAAGAAATATATATTTTGAGAATAAGAAAAAGATTAAATTGTAGGTAAAATATGATGAACTCAATATGGTCCTGTTCAAGTAACCTAGAAAAGTCACTTGTTTCACAGAGGATCATTTTTAACTCTTTCTAGTGGTGACTACGAATAAACAACTAAGGGGCTTCCACCTTTGGATATTTTAGGATCCTCTTGCAGGTGCCATTTTACTGTCTTAATGTGTAGTCCAAAATCCAGCTTGTTTGCATTAATATTCTAATATCTATTTCTCTTCTGTTAAAGTATTCGTTAGCTAGGGACCATTTGGTTTAATAGTGTCCAGTATTGTAGTCATGGGAGCTATAGAAATGTGTATATAATACAACTCCTTTATTACCTAACTTCTCATTCAATGCCCTTTTGTCCATGATGGCAAACTTTAATATTTCAAAGAAACAGTTGTCTGTACTTGATTCTGATGTGAATCAATACTTTTCTGCCTTTTTCTGCAGGCTCTCGTGAAGCATGTCCAGTCAAAAGGATACCCTAATGAACGTTTTGAACTTCTCACCAATTTCCCTCGAAGGAAGCTTTCTCATCTGGACTATGACATCACATTGCAGGAGGCTGGCCTGTGCCCTCAAGAGACTGTCTTTGTGCAGGAAAGGAATTAGCACCAAGGCCTGAGCTCTCCCAGCCTCCCTCCCCTCCTCTTCTTTGCCTGTGATACCAATGCACTAAGTATGCAGCTGGGCTCATGGGATCATCGAGCTGAAATCAGACAGGCAGGCATTTGCCACATCTCCCTCTTCCTCCTTTCTCCTAGTTTTGTGACCAAATGAAAATGCTAAGATATGAGCTTTCCCAGCTTTGGCCTTGGAAAAATCATGCGCTAATTGTGGAGGAACATGCCTCCTACAACTGCACATCCCTTTCTCAGAATAAGAGGGTAGTCTGTGCATCCAACATGCTGGGGTTCGGGATGGCCATAAAAAACAAATATTTCTCACCGCTACCCCTAAAAGAAAAATCTATTTTGTTAATATATTTTATTTTTATTGAGAAATACCATGCAGCTAGGCACTGAGTTGTCTCTCTGCACAGAGAAATTGTAATTTGCAGTAGAATTTTTCTTCGTTTTGGTTTTCTACACAAAAGGTCTCCATTAACCTTACAGTCTTGTGAGGATCCCTTGTCATGTCCTCTGCAGAATACTGATTTGCTGGAAGGATGTGGTGTGAGCTGTGTTTAACAATTCAGGTTGGGGCAGCTTGGTAGATTACACAAGCATATTTTTCTCTCTTCCTGCTGACGAGGTGGCATCTTGTTTAAGTGAGGGTTGACCTGCCAGTGGATTTGGCAGATATTTAGCATGCCTGATATGGGAATTGGATGCTTGATCTGGAGCTGAAACCTGCTGTTTTCATAGTTAGAACTTACCCCTCCGGAATCTATTCTCTTATTCCAAAACGTGGCCTCTTTGTTGTCAGGACTTCATTGGTGGTGGGATATTGTAAGAATCTCAAACAAAAACTTTTGCCATCGTACAATTTAAAAACTAATTTGATTCTCTGTTTCCTAGGTAATTCACTTTCTTGGGGCAATAGGGCATTCACAAAGCAGTCAGGCTATAAGATAAGTAGGCTCTAGTGCTGAGGTTCCTTTTTATTATAAATTGTAAAAAACTGTCATTGATAGACATCCCACTAATTTAGAATGATCATTTATTGGGTCACATCATCAGGGTGACTTGAACTCTCTGTTATCCCACTTCCTAATTGGAACTGCAGTGAAATATATAGAATTGTATCTGTAACAAAAGTTTTGAGTTGTGTAAAGCAACGGTAACTAACTCATGTCAGTATGATTCGGGCTTTACATCGTTCAAAGCTATAAAAACTGTCAGTGTAAGCCATACGTACATTATGACTAAGGAATCAGTTAACCAAACATATAATGCAACGTACAGTGCATCCAAATGGCTTTTTGCACCATGTACTCTCCTTTGTCCTCAGATACTTTACCCTGAGTCTGAGCACAATCGTGTTCAAAGATTTACAGAAGACTGCAGTGAGACACAACCATTTCATTGCTAACTCATCCTTTTACAGAAACTGGTACTGATCCAGGGTGCTCTTTTGTAACTGATAGTTTGTGTTCGCGTATTCTGTATTTGTGGAGGAAAACAAGCTGCTTCACGTTGGACATAAAAATACAGGTAGGGTTAACTTGAGAATCAGACAAAACTGGCAGTTTTTATAGGGTGAAAGATTAGTGTGCCCCCCCCGGCCAATTTTGCTTCATTGTGTTTGTCAGGAAATCTTATCTCCTGGCATCAGTGTCAAAGAAAAGAATTAATGCTGGCAATAACTATTTCCAAGCCAGAAAAGAACCCTCTGAGTGGATGGCTAGGAATATTATGTGGGATAAAACTTTTCAAGATACTTTGCCTTTAATTTCACTCCAGGCTGCATTCCTGCATTAGAAGATGTTACATTGGGAAATCATGGTGATTACCCAGTTTATTCCTTGTGGGTCTTTGCAAGCTAACTGTCCTTTGCCCTTAAAACTGTGAATTCTTATATATAATTTATAAGTATATTTATACAATGCTTTACAAATGGATGATTTGACTAAAAGCATTCACATTGATACCACTTTTTGAGTTCTGTTCCAGGATACAAAAGCCAGTTCTGATCTCCATTCCCTGTCTAGTTGTTGAGTCACATCAAAGGTGACGTGTTGAGACTCTAAAGTGATAACTGGTTATTATCAGCATTGTTCTCAAAGGGAACTATTCCTCTGCTATACTGACCCGAGAAAGAGAACTGCAACAATCAAAGAGAAAGGGAGGGCACTGGTGGTTGTGGGAGAAGGAAAAATGGTGCTTCTAGAATGGAGGATCCTCTGAACCACAAAATACCCAATTCAGACTTGGCCGCATAGGGAGCGGTGTAGTGGTAGCCTGTATCATTTAGTTCTAAATGCTTTCCTGGGCTCCCAAGGGCTAATTGAAATGATTAACTCTGACACTTGTGTGCATGAATCTGTTTACACCTTCCCAACTGGTGAATATCTGAAGAATTTGAGGTTTAAGAGCACCAAGATTTAGTATCTAGCATTTATCCATGGGCTTTTCCTTGTGCACTAAATTGATTGATTTAAGGCTGCAAGTTTCTGTGGCTCTCCCATGATGCCCCTTTATGTACATGGGAGTGGGGGCCTTGGCAGTTCCACTAACTCTTGTGTTAAATTATTTCTGTTTGGTGGGGGGACGCTGATTGTTCAAAGCAATATTCTGATTGGGTAGTTGGTCCTTTTTGACATCATACACTCTCAGCTATGATCTCCCTAAATAATTCTGTACACACTTTACATTGAATGGATGGAGGGGAACTTCTCTTCCGAAACCCCATTCTTAATTACATTTTGACTTTAGCTGCAAGGCAGCCAAAAGCCATAAAAGCTCCTTTTTATTTTCTCTTCCTGCTTAGTTGCAAGGAGCTAGACTCTCTTATATTGGCCATCTTGCATTAAAAAGCTGAATTTAGAGTCCTGAACCAGCTTTTAAGTCAGCTTTGTTATGTTAAAAGCTTGCCCACCCACCTCTCAAGCAGTCTGGTCTGGCAGGGAAGCAATAATTATACTTTGAGAAGAAGCCACTTATGCTTTTTAGTGGTGGAGGTATGAAAAGAAAATCTGCCTCTTACCCAGTCTGGCAGTGGTGCTTAGCACTAGATTTTTAGCATAATGTAAGCTGAATTGGGAGCCTGCAGCTTGCTCCCAGTTCATTTTTAAGCAAATGACATTTTTCAAAAGAGCCTAGCTGTTGGACAAGGAGGAAGGTGAGGGATTTCAGTTGTCCACTGCCATTTCCTTCTACTCCATCTCCTTCCCCAACTGTACTTTAACTACTGGATAATGAATTTCTATACATTTTCATATTCCTCCAGTGATCACTAATCTCCCAAACTTATTTTCATGATTTTAAGAAGTTGAAAGTAGCCATTGGCGAGAAACTGATGAAGAAAGGCAGCTCAGCTCACTGGGTTGGAGATCTGAAGAGACAAGATGTCAAAACTCCAGGGAACCTGAAAGGGAGGAAAATACAACAATAAATATATCCATAACATAGTACTTTCTCTTGTGCTGTGAACAATAGTGGAAAGGTATTTGGTGGATTAAACCCCATTCCCCAAAGAAACTGGCTTCTAATGTTTTTTGATTTGGCTTTTTTTGAGACGTTCAGAGTGGCATGGGTCCTTAATTTTAAGTATCTGAAGCTGAGGTGGTGATCACTTATTGTACCAGTGCACACCCATTGAGAATTTTTCCTCTTAGAAAAGCAAGCTAGCTACCTGACTTAGATACACAGAAGGTTCAAAGATATGAAATACTTCCTGCACTATGGCTATTTCCAGTGACTTCATTTAACACTATGAGTAGGTCCTGGCAATTGGGGGGTGAATGGCTGACTGGTCATGGACTAAAACGTGATCTTTGTGCCAGGCCCTGGTAGCTTGTCTCTTCCCTTCCCAAGAAGTGGTTAGTGCTTGTTCTGGTTGGGTCCTTTATCTTTCAGTTCTCTGCATCTCTGCCAAAGTCCCAAGTTCCCCCTTATGCACATCTGTCTTTTTAAGACCCCCACTGCAAACATCAACTATGCAGTATGGCTAAAGCATTGTAGTTCGGACTTCCAAGAGTCAGTAAGTGGCCAGAGAGGCTCCTGTTAAGAGAAATCTTCTCTCCTCAGTCTGAACCTTCATGCATTGCCTCTGACAGACCTAGTCTTAAAAGGCTGGAGGAGTGAGACTGGGAATCTAACCTGGGATTTACATAGAACAGAGCTTTGGCTGGCAGGAATGTAAGCTAGCCTGGTCAGAGGTTTTTTGTATTGACACAGAAGGCGCCCTGTAAACAACAACTTTGTCAAATTGTTTCATGACACTGAGGCTGTGATGCGCATTACTTTGGAGTGGGCTGGGGAAAGGTCTCATGTTAGTTGCAAGGAAAAGTGGTGATCTAAGGGCTAGCAAAACAAATGTTTGGAAGTGGACATGCTGTGTAGCTTCATGCAAGACCCTTAACCTAAATGACTGCGTAGTTTGGTCTTACTAATGGGTGCTACTTTGTGGATCTGTCATGAAGAGTACTAGGGAGTAGAGATGTGTTTATAGAATGGGAGTCCGTATCCTTGGCAGATACGGGAGGGAATAGCCATCTCCATCCTCTCAGATTAATAGTATTTCAAACTCTTACGTTTTGATTTGTAGCTCCTTTCTTTTAAAAGGAGCAGTTTGTCCCACGTGTTCCATTTGTCTTGTTTTGCTCTCCGACTCGTTAATTCCTTGAAAATTAATCACGAGTATAACAGTTAATCATGACTAGGAGTAGGACGTGTATAGTAGCTTCATAAACATCAGATCAAGAGAGCATCGGTTTAAAGGATTATGATACTAGCTCATCCCTACCGTGGAGGAATTTGAGATGTGAGACTCCCAGGATACTGGGAGCCTTGGCCGTCTTATAGTCATCTCCTCCACTCCCCTGTGGAGCGAGCGATCACCACTATGCTAGGTTTTCAGACACAGCATATAGTAAAGCAAGCTGACCGAAAGCTTCAACCTTGCAACATGCTCTGTCCAGAGAAGGCAGTGAGGGCCTGAGCAAAAGCCACTGGGAGTCTTTTCACTGACTTCAGTGAACTTTGAATTAGGACCTAAAAGATTGGTATTGTACACTCACATCCTAAGCTTTACTTCTGGAAGCACATTGCACTCCCTTGTAAATCAGCAAACGTGCTTGTACTCTCTTTTTGAAATTATGTCTAATAGCCTTGTAATTACAGGCTTTTACAGTCTTTAAAGTGTTATTAAACTATAGTAACACAATATAGTGTTACAAAGGGTGTCAGAGTTATCAGGAGTTGTTTAAACAGCATTTCCTTAGCTGTGGTACATCAAAGCTTTTCAGAAAGAACCAAATCTGCTAGTCTGTTAGTACACTAGAATGAAAAACTTTGGGGGGTGGGAGGTGCAATCCATTCCTAACCAGTGTGGATAGTTGAATAGAAATTTAGGTGCCTGTAATTTGTTAGTATTAGTGTTGTAAATACACTCAAGTGCATATAATTCTGCATTTTTCATCTGAGACACAGTAATGCATACAAACCTCTATTTCTGCTATCACGGTTTATGCAGTTGCTAGAAACCATCTGATGAAATACATTCTTGCCTCACACTGGTGCACATTTTAAAAACTAGCAGATTTAACAAAACCCTCTCCGTCTTTCTGTTTCAGTAGACTTACCCACATAGTTGTGCAGACTGCAGTTAAAATGGGATTTATAGACTGAAAGAAATAGCTCATTGCAATGTTCCATATTCTCATTGTTACTTCCCCATAATATTTATGCATTTTACAGAAGTTTGAATGAGCTACATAACTGACAGCACTAAGTCCTCAGTCTGCTCAGAATACAGCTTTGTTTTAAGAGTATAATTGACAAAGATCCTGAAATTCTAAAAAAAATTTTAAAAAAACCCCCAGATTGCCCTTCAATAGCAATATTGGCCTTGTATGTCTGATACTACTGTAGTGAGAACTCATTTTTGTTATCAAACCAAACAGATTAAATATACCAACAGTTGGGTACCAGTAGAGTATAACTAACAATAACTACCTTTCACCTTTTCTGTTCTGAGTGTTTGATCTGTAGTGCTCAAACAGAACTGCATATGTAGCTATGTGGTACAGCCTAGTGGATTCCCAGTTGAGTGGTGTATGACCTTTGCAATCAGTACTGTGCATGACTAGTTAGTGACAGTGATTATTAGAATGTAACCTTTGGAGTAAGAAGTCTGTTTCTCTATTTGTTGTGTTTGCTCTTCCCAGCTGGAGTGCTGGGTCCACTAGCACTGAAAGACCATGAAAGTTTGATCTACAAATCATCACTTTTCTAGGAGGGAAATAAGGCACCATGTGAGAGAACTCATTGGTCTTCTATCCTTATTCCAGATGCCAAACAGTGTAAAGATGAATACAAATAGACAAGTGATTAATGCTATTCATGTATTGAGGTTAGCTGAGGATTTGTTACAGAGACTTTTTGGGGTGAAACTGGATGTATCCTTTGAGACGTCCCTTTAGCAGTTATCCTTGTAGTGGCTTTGTGGACTATATACTAACTGTTTTTCCCCCCACTCTTCTTGCCTAATTCAGCAGCTCTGCTGAATCAGTTTGCATCATTTCTTAGATTTTTCACCCTTTCTTTTACCAAGCTAGTAGTTAACACAGTGACGCAGTCCAGGGCATGGAGGTGTATGGACATGCTTTGGCTATATTAAGTATAAATACTGACAGCCGTCAGTCACATGAAGTATAGATAGGCATGCCTTTGTCATGCTGTGTTAACATTTCTGATTATGCTATTTTTTTAAAAAGCAATCTTCCCCTGTTATATAAAGGCTAGGATGTTCTTTTTTAATCAACTCAAAACTGGGTAAAGTATTGACCCATATAAATGTGCCAGACACCTACCTGAGTTGGAATTTTCATTAATCTCCAGATTCTAACTAGTTCCTCTGCAAATTAATCAGAACAGATTTTGACAACTGCTGTTGAAATCTGTGCACATTACTGCTACAGGCATTCTAAAATAATTATTTTACAAGGATTTTTCCCTTGTATGCCAGAAAAGTGCTCAATTTTATTCCAGCTCAGTTATGATCTGCTGTTTGCTTTTTGAGCATGTGAGATTAATAGACGCAGCCTTGGGTAATACAGGAGAATTTTATTTGAATCTCTTAATAGTTAGCTGTGAGATAACTTGCAGTGTCTATCCAGTCCCAATAAAAATGGCCATACTGGCTTTTTATTGAAGAATGCAGCGCTTAGTGTCACTGTCTTATGCCTTAAATTGCCTCACTTTTATCATCTACCATTATGCAAAAATACATTAATAATTATAGAAATTCTGGTCTTGGTCACTGTCAGTTGTCATTATTTCCACCAATACACCTTCAGTACGGAAGAGAGTAATAATCCTGTATCTTATAATTGTTTAAAGGTATAGGAACTTTTGAGTCGTAAGAGGATACAATATAAACGTAGATGAAGGAGGGGGATGAGGTGCTATCTTATAGAACAGCTTTAATTGACAAAAATCTGAGTCAAACTCAATTGAGTCTAAGAAGTGTAGTGTCTAACCAGGCACATCGTGCACTCTGATACAATACGTTGTTTGTTTATGGGGTTGGGTCCTCCAGTTGATAAACGTAGTTTTTAACTGTGCAAAATTGTGACTTTGCCTGTCATTTTGTACAGCAGCAATTTTCTTTAATTATGATGCAACTAAGTGGGAGGAGGAGAAGTCTTCGGAAGATTTCAGCTCACTGTGCTGGGAGGGAGCAAACTCAAGGAAACCTCTCTAATCGATATAAACAACTGCTGCATTTTTTTATAAATATATGTAAATGTCCTATTGTAATATTTGATCCTGGAAATAAAACAAACTGTTTTCAGTAGCTTCATCTTTTGTTTTTTTAGTGGGAATGGTCATGACCCTAGGCTATGTATGGAGCTCCTGCATTTTCATCAGTTGACAGAATTTTATCTCATTGGGTACATGTACGCAGCAATAAAAGACCTGCAGCATCCAGTCTTGGAGCCAAGGTCAGACGACACGGGCTTGCAGGGCTTGGGCAACAGGGCTAAAAGAAGCAGTGTAGACATTCAGGCTTGGGCTGGAGCCTAGGCTCTGACACCCCAAAAGGGGGAAGCTCTCAGTACCTGGCCTCCAGCCCGAGCCCAATTGGCTACACCAGTGGTTCTCAACTTGTGGACTGCTTGCGGCCAGTCAGCACACAGCTGCGGCTCCAAATGACATCCTCAGGGCCATACAGGTAGTATATATATTGTGTGGATGTGGCCCACATAACAAAGTCAGAGCTGCATATCCAACCCACAATGGTAAACCGGTTGAGAACCACTGGTCAACACTGCAACTCTTTAGCCTTACAGTCCAAGCCCCATGCACCTGAGTCAGCTGACGCTGGCTTTGAGACTCTGCTTTGGATTTTTTATTGCTGTGTAGATGTACCCATTGAGAGTCAATTTTTTGTTCATGTGTGATCTTACAAGGTGGTGGAATTGCCAGAGCTCATATGGGGAGTTAGACCCTGTGTTCAATCTTTCTTTTGCTAATTGCCTCTGAGTGTTAGATGATTTAGCAGAGTAATTCAAGGTGTGATAGCTAAATTCCTGCCCCTGTGGGTTATTTATTGTATATGATCAAAAGCTAAATTAATTTACTGTACAAGACCTGTGGGCACCCTGTTTAAGATGCTGTATTAAAAGGGGTCACTTTTTTCTGCAATAGGAATAATACTGTTGCCCTTTAAAGACGGAGTGCAGTAGCTTTAATACCAGGTTCTATGCATATTTGTTCACAGGGATCCCATTTTTGAGTACACATGCTCCATGCATCCAAGAATGGATTCTTTTGGCTAGCAGTGTCCATTGTGAGCACACCAAGGCCCCAGATGTCTTTGCAACCCCCATCTGAGGGAATAAGGGCAGAATGGACTCAACAACCTCTCAGCAGTTGCAGTAGTGTTAGTGATTAGTTAGTCTTGTTAATTTGCCTGTTGATTTAAACCAAGGGAATTTTTTACTGGTTTTTTTCATAGATAGTTGCCCCACCCCCATACTGCGACTCCAAGCTGTTATGGATGAAGCTAAATCTGAGGTTTAAGACATGCCCCTCCAGTGATCTTGCCACTCAATAATGGGCATTCCAAGGGCATGTCTACGCTACAGGCACTACAGTGATGGCACTGTAGCTATGCTGCTTTAACACTGTAGTATAGTCACTTTGTACAGTGACAGAAGGGGTTTTTCCCATCGCTATGGGAACTCCATCTCACTGAGCAACAGTAGCTAGGTAGACGAAAGCATTCGTCCATCAACCTAGCTGCATCTATGTTGGGCATTAGGTCGGCATAGCGATGGTGCTCACATGTGTGACTTTTTCACTGCCTCCCTGGCCACTGCTCTTTTGGCCACTCTTTTTTCCCAAGTGCACTCAGAAGGCTAGGAATGCCCTCCTAAAGTTAGGTTTCAGAGGAACAGCCGTGTTAGTCTGTATTCGCAAAAAGAAAAGGAGTACTTGTGGCACCTTAGAGACTAACCAATTTATTTGAGCATGAGCTTTCGTGAGCTGTAGCTCACGAAAGCTCATGCTCAAATAAATTGGTTAGTCTCTAAGGTGCCACAAGTACTCCTTTTCTCCTAAAGTTAGTTTGTCTGGAGCAGAGAAGGAAGGACTCATCCCACATGGGGAAGGATGATATAGCTCACGCAGCTTCTTCGAGTGGTGTCCCTGTGGGTGCTCCACTTCAGGTGTTGATGCATCCCTGCACCTTTGATCAGAGAATTTCAGCAGCAGTGTGTATGCATGGTCCCTGTCTTACAGCATCGTTGGCACCTCATCTAGCGCATGCACAACCTGACTCCCTCCGTTCCTTCTCAACCATCCTCTGCATGAGATGGAGCTCCCAGCAGTGTCACAAAATTAGCTCATTTAGCATTAAAATAGTTTTAGCTTAGTTCAGTTATTCACCTCCTTTTCCCTATTTTCCTTAGTTTTTAAAATTTTTTTTTTCTTTCCATAGACTAGTTAAGCTCACCCCTGGAGTAAACAGACATCTTTCCAGTTATGCCTGGTTCACTGGGCTTTAAGCAATACCTTTCGTGCCAGGATTCCATGCTGGTGTTGGACAGACACTTCCGATGCGTCCACTGCTTGGGTGAGTCGCACATCCCGCAAAAATTCACTCACTGCAGCAACCTAAAGGCTTGAGATAGGAGGTACAGGGATCTGTGCCTCAATCTCATTTTAATGGAGAAGTCTCTGCAACCAGCTTCAGACCCCAGCCAGCAGACTCCCACTGGACAAATAGAATCATAGAATATCAGGGTTAGAAGGGACCTCAGGAGGTCATCTAGTCCAACCCCGTGCTCAAAGCAGGACCAATCCCCAACTAAATCATCAAAGATCCCTGGAGGAAGATCCCTTCCCAGAGGAAGACTCATTCCTCTAAAAATCAACAAGGAAACAAGCAGCAACTTCTCAGAGAGAACTGACCAAAAATAATCTCCAGCTTAGTCTCCTGCCTCAGTAATGATCGCACCATGGCTGAGTACCTATGAGGCACCGGGATCCTCCAGCACCACCCGCATTGTGGCCTCTGCCAATCCCCAGCACTCCGGTGCTGACTCAAGAGGCAAAGGCAAGCCTACCTCCTCTGCCGTGACACTGTCGACACTGCTTAAGGCAGTGGCATTGAGATCTCCAACACAGGCTACAGCACCACTGCCGGCTCCGCCAGCCTCGATGCCATTGGCACCAAAAACTTTATGGACAAAATCATTGGCATTGTCCACTGCGATGCCGCAACTATTGGCACCGAAGAAGTCAGTGCCGAAACCAGCGTGCCAGTTCCTTCATATTAGTATCATCAACGCTGGACTCATCACTTTTCGGCACCAACATCTCTCCAGTGCACGCAGTATCAGAACAACCCATATCACCACTACCTCTTCCAATTTCCAGCGAGGAGGAAGAGGATCAGAAAGAGGGTCTCTCTTCTTCACACCACTCCTCTCCTGTCCAGCTGGCACCACCATCTGGACCTCTACGATCAAGGTCATACAGGACATACATCTGTGGTGTGGTCACCCAAGGATGTCCTCACCCATGCTGTTCCCCACACAGTGGCCCTATTGGGATCCCTGGGCCGCCTAGAGAAGGCATTACAGCAGGCCACTCTACCCCAAGAGGGAGGGGATTAGATTGCCGCCACCACCACCACCTTCAGTGCTTGTAACGTCAGAGTCCCCTAAGGAAACAGTTGAGCAAAGGGAGGAGAGACTAAAACAAGACACCACACCACCTAAGTTCCCTCTACACCATGCAGCAGGCTATCAAGGGCCAAGCAGGTGAGTAGAGGTGCCTCTCCCCTAGCCCCGGACTGTTGCAGTGAGAGAGGGCTGGGGGGAGTTCATTCTCTATCTTCCTCTCACCTGTCCCAGCCCTCGGGCAGCCTGCAACCCAAACCCATCATCCCCAGCCCCACCCCAGAGCCCTCACCCCCCCACACACCCCAACCCTATGCCCAACCCTGAACCCCCTCCCACACTCTGAACTCCTCTGCCCCACCCCCACCACAAATCACCTCCATATTGGTGCACATAACAAAATTCATTCCGCACATGGATGTAAAAAATTAGAGGGAACATTGCCGCTGATGACTTGATGCAATTTAAAGAACTCTTTAAATGTGTGGTTGAAGGCCTAGAGATCCTTCTTGAGGAGGTACCAGAATCCCAATACAAACTATTGAACACCCTGCAAACCTCCTCAGCCACAAAAATAGTGCTTCCAATCAATGACGCACTAATGGAACCAGCCAAGAACATTTGGCAAACCCTGGCGACAATACCACCCAACTGCAAGAGGGCTGATTTTAAAAAAAAATGCCCTCCAACGGCATGGACTTCCTATTTTCGTATCCTACACAAAACTCCCTTGTTGTGGAGGCCATCAACCAATGTGGTAGACAAACTCAGTACAGATCCACTCCCCATGATAAAGAGTGGAAGGAATTGGATCTTTTTGGATGCAAGGTTTACTTATCAGCAACACTGCGATTTTGGGTGGCCAACTATGCAGCATTACTAGCTAAATACAACCACAGCAACAACTCCAAGCTTATGGACTTTATTAACGACATCCCAGAAGACGAGATCAATTTAAATCTATCGTGACAGAAGGTCAGCTTGTAGCTCTGCAAACATCCTTTGATGTGGCAGACACAATGGGGAGATCTACAGCCACCGTGGTTGTCATGCACCACGCATCTTGGCTCCACTCTTCGGGTTTTTCCAGGGAGATGCAATCCATGGTGGAGGACCTCTCCTTCAACCGACAGAAACTGTTTGCTGCAAAGACAGATAAAGTTCTCCACACAGTGACAGACTCCCAAGTGACTTTCTGCACTCTGGGACTATATACGCCTGAAACCAAGAGAAAACAACATGGGTATCAACCTTATCAGTGTGGCAGGTTCGCATCATATGTCCAATACCCCAGTCAGTGCCACCCTTAGGCACTGAAGAATCTGACACTGGCCAGGAAGAGATCATTTCCCTGGCCCTCATCATGGCCCACCTTCACACTGCAAGGGTCCTCCCCAGTTCCATCAAGCCAACCTACAGTTGTGGTACGGGCCCCCTGAGGTAAGTCCACCACCCATGCCTGCCTTCCTCCCTCGCATCCCCCCCCCCCCCGACCTTAAAAACTTCTAAGGAAGGAGATTCCACCACCTCCCTAGGAAACGCATTCCAGTGTTTCACCATCCTCCTGGTGAAAAAGTTTTTCCTAATATCCAACCTAAACCTCCCCCACTGCAACTTGAGACCACTAGTCCTCGTTCTGTCATCTGCTACCACGGAGAACAGTCTA